CTTAGTTTTAGGGCATCTAATTAAGATCCTGGGACTGACCCTCACAATTTATTAACATGTCATTCATCTTCATAAAATATGCAAAAGTAAAGATTTTAATTAAAATCTGTTAAGATAGCTGGAGTTTTTTTTTGTAACTCTCAATCATCCTTCTCCTTGTTCTGTTATCCAACTGGCTGAAAGCAGTTTTGGAAGTTGGCTAAGATGAAACTGAATTGGAAATGTTATACATTTAGTTAGGGTTTGGTGGGACATATTTAGGGATTTGCACTGCCTTCTGTGTCTATTTAAACTATAGCTGCTCCCCGGAGAAGGAATGGCTCCCAAAATATTCCCACTGCCTACTGTGCCAACTCACCCAGCTTCATGACACGAAGCTGCAGAGCTAAAGATTGTACCATAATGTGATTGTGTCTTGCAGCCTTGGCCTTGGAACTCTTTGGAGAATGGGAGAGAAACGCAGTTTGAAACCTACAAGGCCAGAATCTAGTTTGTGTCTATTCTTCCAGTCATCAGTGGTGGAAACTCATCAGTGGAGAATTCATTTCTCATCCATGCCTGGACAAAACAGTTCTCTTCCTTCAGGAATATACTCAATAATGTAGAATAGACCATTATAAATGCACTATATCTACTTAAAACTTTTTTTGATAGGCATGATATGACATAGAACATATTAGAATCCCTGAATTTATGAAGTACAAACCTGTAGTAGTATTACAAAAAGTAAGTGAATTTATGTATGGAGTCATGTTTTATGAATCCCAGCTCTAAGAAACGTATTTCAATCAACCACACTAGGATAATTACCGAATTGTATTTTTAACCTCCCCACAGAAAATGGTACTATGAAATTGTTGTAAATGAAGAAATGATAAAAGGATAGGCATCTGGAAAATGTAGGAAAATTATTATAAAGAAATGTTAGATCATTAAAAATATTATGTTATTTTTACTGGCCTTAGTGACTTCTGTGGTAATTTTCAGCTTTATAAAATTTATAGTTTATTGTAATTTCTTTTCTCATTCCAAAAATATTTACAATAATCTTTAATTTTGAAGTCACAGTTTTAGGGAGCTAGCTCCCAAAATTCTACAAGTTTCAGGCCTCAGAAACCTAAATATGACCCTGAGTATTTTATCGCATTTAATTTGCA